CAGCTGTAAACAAGATTGAGGAAGAGTGCTCTGAACAGATATACAATTTCCAGGACATCATATTGCATGTTAGCTGAAAAAAAGCAATGTCCAAATGAGTATCTACAGTATGCTACCCTTTATATAAGAAAGGAGAGACATAAGAAAATACACATGGGGCCAGCCCTGTGGTGCAGTGGTTAAGTTTGCACATTCTGTTTCGGTGGCCTGGGGTTCGCTGGTTCGGATCCCGGGTGCGGACATGGCACCACTTGGCAAGCCATGCTGTGGCAGATGTCCCACATATAAAATAGAGGAAGATGGGCACGGATGTTAGCTCAGGGCCAGTCTTCCTCAGCAAAAACAGGAGGATTGATGGCAGATGTTAGCTCAGGGCTAATCTTCCTCAAAAAAAAAAAAAAAATACGCAGATGCAAAGGAAGCACAGGAAGGATAACCCAGACGCTAAATACATTGTTGGGAAAAGGCTGGAAAGAAAAGAGGAAAGGGCTTGGGGTTGCAGGGGTGAGAAGGGAGTGACATTTCTGTGAGTGTATCTTTTTGTGTATAACTCTGACTCTCAGAACCGAGTAATATTTCACGTTACCCCCCCAAATGAATGAACAATTAAGATCAACCAGGATGTAGGGGGTACAGAAAGTAGAATGCCAGCACTTACAGATGAACCCCGCAGTATCTCAGTGAATAACAACCATACTGGAAGGGATGAGAAAGGAAATAACTCACCGAAGTCACCGTGCAAAACAGTCCCTTGACTGATAGAGGAAGAGCAAAGGCAACAATTACTCTCATAAAGGCTGCAACATAGTTTTAGAAGTGTTTCTTACAGGGGTACAGTTAACAGTTCTCCAACTGCCCTGTACTAGAATTGAATAATATTCTAGAATTGATAAACGAGTAAGTAGACTGTAGATTATGAGAGCCAGGTTTCTCACTGTTAGAGAAAGAAGTTATAAATAAAAGGGAAGGGTACAATAGACCCTGTGGGGTTGGGTTAGCATCAGAGATATCAGTATGAACTCGTGGTTTTGAAGTTATAGATGGATACAGAAGTATAGCTATGTGTGTATACACGAGGGTTAGTACACATACATGTGTTTCCTGGCTCTGTGCCCTGAGTGGGCTCAGAAGCAGTGACATCAACTAACAGTGAGTACACCTGGCACCTGCATCTTGGTCTCTAAACATCATTCTCCAACAAAAGGATGCAGGGCTCCTAGGAGGAGTGGTTGAGTCCAGGGATGCAGCAGGGAAATTACAAGGTGAGCCTGGAGCATCTTATGGTACTAGAAAGTAAGGAAGTGCTCAACACAAAGTGGGGGGCGTGTCAAAAAGACACAGGAGCCCACCTGAAGGAGTTCCTGATGGCCAGAGCTGCAACACTTGGAGGAACAAAATAAATCATGATAGTATTAGATCGTGGCCCACAGAATAAAATATCCATGAATCCATATTAATACAAACATTCGAATAAATAAGTAAATGGAGGAGAAGGGGAGTGCTTCCTTACAATAAAATTCTAATTAATAAACGTAAAAGGAGAGAGGGAAATAGAGAATTGCCGTCAGACAAACACCACAGTAAAAATATTGCAGACACTATCTACCTATCACTAAGTAATACTAAAATTAGTGGACAATACTAAAATTAGTGGACAAAAATTTGAGGAGAAACAGGATTCTCATAGTCTCGAAGCACCTCCCCTAATACAAAATACAAAGGGAAAGAAAGTAACTCTACAATGGAGAAACCTGGCCAACACCAGTAATAAGTGATCAAGGTAAATATCACCACCTTGTGATGTTTAGACGGTAATTAGACATACTGACATCATGAACCCTTTGATAAGATGCCCTGAGGACACAACATAACTTTTTTTTTGGAGGAAGATTAGCCCTGAGCTAACATCTGCTGCCAATCTTCCTCTTTTTGCTGAGGAAGACTGGCCCTGAGCTAACATCCATGCCCATCCTCCTCCACTTTATATGTGGGATGCCTACTGCAGCATGGCTTGTCAAGCGGTGCCATGTCCGCACCCGCGGTCCAAACCAGCGAACCCTGGGTCGCCGAAGTGGAACATGCGCACTTAACTGCTGCGCCACTGGGCTGGCCCCACAACATCATTTTTTTGGTGTTCTTGCCAAAAATGCATAACCTCACTCCAACATAAGAAAACACCAGACAAGCCCAAATTGAGGTGTTTTTTTTTGTTGAGGTTCAACAGAATAACTGATCAGTATTCAGTTCTGATAAAAAATAGCAAGATCTTGAAAAACAAGGAAAAGACTCAGGAAATACTACAGACTGGAGAAGAAGGAAAAATAACAAATGCCATGTGGGATTCTGGATAGAATCCTGGAAAACAGAAGGGATAGTAGTGGAAAAGCTGGTGGGATTTAAATATGGTTTGTAGCTTCGTTAATAATATTGTATCAATGTTAATTTCCTCTTGACCATACTGTGGTTATGTACCATGTTAATTTCAGGGGAAACAGAGCAGGGGGGTGGGGGGGGGTAGAAGGGACTTTGTACTATTTTGTACCTTTTCTCTAAGTCTAAAATTAGTTAAAATAACTCCCTTCTTGGGAAATACAAGCAGAAAACAACACTATAAATATTACAATCCTAATTTTTTAATATATATATGTAGAAAAAAAGACTGGCAGGAATTCCACCAACACTGTAACATTGGGTATCTCCAAATGGTGGAAATTATAGTGACTTTTGCTTTTGTTTTCATATTCGTCTGATGGTTTCATCTGATCGATCCTTGGAAACAGTGGTGAATGAGACAAGTCTCTCTCACAGAGCTTATATTCTAGTGGGGCAAATGGAAAATGTGTAAATACCTTTAAAATATCTTTGTGCAGGAAATTAAACTAAGCTGATGTGATGGAGAGATGGGTAGTCAGGGAAGGCCTCTCCAAGAAGGTGACATTTAAGGTGAGAAGTGAATAACAAGAAGGAGAAGATGCAACTGGGGGTGCAGAGTGGGGAGAGGGCAGAGGGAGCTGTCTGCGCAGAGGCTGCAAGGTAGGGGCGGGCTGAGCTTGTGGGACAACCTAGAAGAAGCCAGTGTGGCTTGGCTGCAGTGGGCTAGGGGGGAAAGGGGTGTGAGATGAGGTCAGAAGGATAGCAAGGGGCCAAGAGTATGGGGCTTGGTGTGGCCTTGGGAGCCCATGGAAGGAATGGAACATGTGAGAGTCATAATGAAGCTTTGGTTTTAACAGGACTCTGGCAGTTGGGTGGAGCTGACTGCAAGGGGATGAGGGCGGAATCTGGGAGACCAGGGAGGGGGCTGCCAACCTCCAGGGATCTGAGTGAGAGACCATGGCAGCTCAGACAAGTGGCTCGGGCCATGTGGAAGGAGGAGGGACACGGTCAGATTCGGGCTCTGTTCTGACAGAGTGATGGGTTGGATAACGGATGTGAGAGAGAGAGAGAGAAGTCAAGGATGATTTCTCCATTGGGTTTCAGCTTTCGAATAGATGGTGGCAGTCATTTACCTGGATGGGGAACACGGGGGGAGTTTGGAAGGGAAGCAAAAGCTCTGTTTTGGTTTGGGGATGAGCATGCTTATTATGTTAATGATCAGAGAAGAATGAATAAAGAATGGGCAGGGGCTGTGGGTGAGACCCAGGACTAGGTGCCCTAAGGGATAAGCCCTGGGTGCTGGTCAGTGGCCCCTCCTGACTTATCCCTTCTCCTGAGGCTCCTGACCCCCTCTGCCTCCAGCTCAGTCTGTACCTGATGTTCTTCTTCCCCAGGACAGAGGCTGTGCCTGGGGTCTGTCCCCAACCCAACTCTGGCCTCCTGACACTGACAACTTGCCAGCATGAGTGTCGACTGCTGGGTGCTGTGCTAAGTGATTGGGATGGGTGGGTGGGTGGATGGATTTGTCTCAAAAACTCTGTGTAGGGGCTGGCTCAGTAGACAGCTGTCTGACTGGGAGTGAGGTGGGACCAATGCTCCTTAAATCCTTCCCACCTGGGGTTCCCCTTAATTTTAGGAACTAAAAGTGATGAGGTCATATGCTCAGCTCTGGGGGAGAGCAAGGCAGGCACCAACATTTATTAAGCACCTGCTGTATGCCCAGAAAGTTCGCCTACCTAAACTTTACTGCTCAGCACCTCTCTGGGAGGCAGGGGCCATCCTCCCCATCTTACAGATGGGCAGCTGAAGGGCCAGCCGTGGGTCAGTGCCACCTGCCACCCCACAGAGAGGCTCTTGGCTGCAAGAGGAGGATGCTCTCTCTGTCTGGGTACCAATGAGGTATGCCTAACGTGTGTGCATGTGCCGTGCCAGAGGCACCCACTTGTGTGCAAGTCTGCACACGTATGTGCATATATGGGGGCAGGAGGTGGCTAGTGGAGGGGTGCCCCCACTCCAGGCTCAGTCTTGGCCCCTGCAGCCCAGATAGGTGGAGCCCCTGACCCCTGGAAGGAGAGCAGCCGTGTGAGCTGACCCTGAGTTCCTAAGTGTGTTTTTGTTCTTGTTCATCCAGAAGTTAGCTGAGAGAAAAGGGAGGCTGACAGTGGACCCTAATGGATTAAGGGCATACAACATATCTGGTTGTCTACCCATCTCTTCTCTTAATCTGCCCTGTGACAGGTGCCTTAAGGATGCTGAGGGAAACTGCTGCTCAGATGCAAGATGACTTGCTCAATGTCACACGCTGAGCTGGGATGTGAAAGGGACAAGAAGCCTCCTGAGGTTAGCACTGAGGGGTGCCACGCACACCTCACCTCACTAACTCTTCCCAGCCTCCTGGGAGGTAGGTCCGACCACATTCACTTTACAGATGAGGTAAACGAGGCTCAGAGAGGTAGAGTGAGTGGCCAAAAGTCACACAGTCAGTAGGTGGCAGGGCTGGAACTCGAGACCAGCTGGGATTTGCAGATTGCCCCTGTGCCTGACAAGCCGTGTGTTTGACTGCTACTCCCCATGCTGTGGCGCCAGATCTGCTACCTCTCTCCACAGTCCTCTTCCTGGTGGAAGAGCAACCTGCCTGGTCGGAGTGTCTGCCCTGTACTACCCAGGGTGTGACAGCCTCAGCTGTTGCTTGAGTGGTGTCCTCGCGTGGGAACAGGCATCTCTAGCCCCTCTGGGGGGACATAATGAGCGCTGGGGGGCTCTCGTATGTGAGAGGGGGCCTGAGTAGACCTCCAGAGCCAAATGACCCCATTCTCCGGGCTGCCACCCTCACTGGCTGGCTCTGGCTCCACGAGAGGCTCTGATTGTCCATTCTCCTCACCCCCAGGGCTGGGGAAGCCCCTGGGACGTTCTGCTAGAGTTGGGGGTCTGAGGAGGTAGGAGAGGCGCTCACAGAGCTCGTCCATCTCAGAGGTGGTGTTTGGAGGCGCAGTGTCGGTGCCACGGGTGGCCAGCTCTGGCTGTGCTTCTGGCTCGGGCTCGAAGGACTTCCCTGACAGTTGGGGACCTGGTGTTGGGCAGAGCAGGCTGGGGATGGTGACCCTTCTGCTCTCAGGAGCTGCGTCAAGGACCAGGGGCTGCTCACCGCTGATACCTGAGCAGATGACTGCCTCACCTGAAGGTGGGCCGGGGGTCAGAGCGGGGCCCTGCAGTTGGTGTCCCTTTGGGCTGCTCAGGGGAAGGTCCTGGGGGAACAACGGTGTCCAGTGCAGGACGAGGTCACTGTAGCAGGTCAGGAACTCCTCACTGTCCGAGCGTGTGCTGGCGTGGCACTGGGGGCCCAGAGGGACCTGGGGGCCAGTGAGGGGGCTGTAGGGGGTTGTTAAGACCTCAGGCAGGCTCAGGGTCACCTGCAGAGAGCTCTGGTCATCAGGGCCCTCGGGCAGGACCCTCTCAGACCCCACCCCTTCTGAGGGGTCTGGGCCTAGCTTCGCCCCCTCGAGAGAGGTATGAGCCTTCCCCGGCCTTCTGTCCAAGCTGTGCCTGTGGTGGGGCCTGGCCAGTTTCTCTCTGCCCAGCCCGAGGACCTGCCCGCCCGAGGTTCCCAGAACAGCCTCACACGCAACTCTTGCCAGGAAGATCTCAAAAACCGTCTGCTTGGTGTCCTCCTCGCTGGTGGCCTGGACCAGTGAAAACTCAGCCTCGGAGGTGGCCACATAGCCCAGCCTGCCCAGAATGGTGCGCAGGGTGTGCTCGGAAAGCACAGGCCTCACCCAGTAGGCGAAGTTCCCAGTGTATGTCTGGAACAAACAGGGGTGTTCGTTAGAGGTGGGCCACGTCTCAGCAGAGTGGCCGAAAGGGGCTAGGCAGGACCAAGGGCAGATGCCCAGGGCACCAGAGGCTCCTGAGAAGCAGGTGGGCCAGGGCATTTGGCTGCATGGAATCCTGGCCCATAATTGTGTTACCCTCTGTCCCATTTTACAGAAGGGCACACTGAAGCCCAGAGGCAGGACAGCACCTAGTCACACAACTAGAGAATGACCAGGCTGGGGTGAGGCCCTGGTGTCCTGGCTCCCAACCCAGCAGTCCAGGCCTGGAGCCAGAAGAGAGGAAGCCTTCCAGTGGCTTTCCACAGCCAAAGTCCTGCCCCTGTTTCTTCTGGGCCCCTCGGCTCCTTCTCTTTAGAGAGACGGTTTACGTGGTGGTCTGGAGCTGCACTGCTTCAGTGTGACCCTGGCTGTGCTGCTTGTTAGGGGGTGACCATAGATAAGTTGCACTAACCTCATTTGCTCCTACTTTCTCCAACTGTAAAATGGGACCAAAGTCAGTGGGCCTGGTGGACATGCTGCCCCCCCGGGGCAGAGCCAGCCCCTCCCGAGACCCCATTGCTCAGGGCATGGCGGTGCCTACCTTCAGGGACCTGATTTCCTTCCTCCAGGGAAACAGAAGTAGGTTGACAGAGATGAGCTCCAGGAACTCTAGTGCCTGCACCAGTTTGTGGCAGACGTGCTGGGCAGAGCTGGGCGTCCCCTGGGAGTGAGTGGCCCCCAGATCAGGGCCCACATCCTCAGGCAGATAGAGCTGAGGAGGGGCCACCGTGTCCAAGAGCCGCTGCGCCCTGTGGGTGAGGGCTGCCTGCCTGCAGACCCGGAGCCGGCCCGCCCCTGCCCCCTCCCGGTAGTAGCTGAGGAGGTCACCCAGGAGGGTCTCTGGAGCAGCCTGGCCTGCGCCCGGGGAAGGGGGCCGGCTCATGGTGGCTCCGAGGGACTGGATGCGGAAGAGAGTCCTGTGGTCCTCCCCAGGCCAGGCCAGGCTGTCCTGCCTCTGTCCCGCCCCAGCGCTCAGTCAGGAAGCTGAGGAGGAAGTTGTGCTGGCAAAAGAGAAAGCTATGCTCAGTGTGGCCTCCACTGCTTGTCACTCTGGGGGAGCTGAAATCTCAGGGTGGCTGGGCTGTGCTCAGCTCCCTGTCCCATCTCCTCCCAGGGGAACAGAGCTGAAGTCAGGCTGGGTCCTCACCTTGTCCCAAGAACAGAAGGGAAAGCCGGGCGTATTGGTGCTGCATCCTTTCAACCCACCTCTGCAGCAGATGTTGCCAGTGCCGCCCATGACCCTCAGCCCACTCCTGATATCACCCTCTGAGGCTCCCTACGCCTCCTCCTGAGAGTCTTCTCTGGCTGCAGGAGCTGCTCTGCTGGTGGGCGGGGCAGGCTGCGAGTGCCAGGGAGTTAACGCCCTCAACCAACAAGGAGGGTCAGTGGATAGCAACCCCAGCTGCCTGCCCTTGGTGGGATGGTCAGAGGTGTGTTGTATACCATCTTTCGGAGGGTCCCGGGGGGGATCGCCCCTGTTGCCCGCAGCAGTAACCTGCTCATTAATGCACCCTTCATTGCCTCTTCTCCCTCCCTTGTCTTAATTCCTGACTCCTTCACTGTGTTTCCTGGGCTTGCCTCCTAAATAAACGATTTATACCCAAATCCTTGGGCAGGGACGGCTTTTGGGGGAACTGAGATGGCAACAATCACCTTTGCACTCTCCCATCTACCCTCCCCTCCTTCCTTCCCTTCTTCCTTCCTTCCTCCCCTCCTTCCTTCCTTCCCTCCTTCCTTCTTTCCTTCCATTCATTCACCTAGTACTTAATTAAGTGATGATTCGCTCATTCATTCAGCCACTCCGTGACTCACTTCTACCATGTGGGTCAGAATTTCTTAGTGCGCTCCATGGAGGCACACTTGTTGGGGTTCTTAATCAGTCTTACGTGAGTCAAAATTTCCTGCGGCCAAATAAATTTGGGAACTTCTGGGTCAAGTGCGGTCCCTTGGCTTCTTGGCTGCTGTAGGACTTCTCATGAAGCATGCTAATTGGGGGTGTGAATTTCTAGGAGGGGTGCCATGGGCAGTATTTTCCAATTTCTTGGACCCTGAGTCCCTTTCAATGACCTCGTCTGGTATTTGGGGGGAAGTGCTGTCTTTGAGCAGCCAGCTGTGTCTCTCCCTGCCAGCCCGGGGGCTTCAGAGGCAAATGAGGGAAAGTCCCTGCCCTGGGGTGCCTCACAGCCTGGGGAGCCCAGCTGAGGGGGTGGTGGTGGTGCAGGGCTGGCTATGACCTAGTAGTAACATTGCCCAGGAAGACCTGGCTCTTGATCATCATTTGCTTTCTATGTGACTCTGCTGGCCTCTTGCCCCTCCAATCGGGAGAGGGGCCTCTGCCTGGCGCCTGGCCTTGGAGCTGCCTCAGCCCTGGGCTCACCACATCTGGGTCTCTTTGCTCCCTGCCCCCAGGTCCCCCACCGCCTGCAACATTTTCAGAGCTCCATGGTCAGCGCGGTTCCTGTTCCTCTGGTTGGGAAGTTACTTCCCAATTGGAATCCTACTTGAAAATGGATCCCTGGGTGACTAGCAACTCTCCCTCCACAGGCCATTCTGGATTAATCCTTTTAGGTCTAATATTGGGGATGCTACCCTTTCAGACACATTAGCTCTTCTGACCCTGAACCTCAGAAAGGTTAGGTAACTAGTCCAGGGTCACATCTGGGCACTCTGTGGTCTCCCCCTCGGCCTCCTTCTGGGTTGGAGATAGAGGCCAGGGCCAGGCTCGGCAAATGTGGCACAGTGCTGGTAGACGTTTGGTGTTGTCACAGCCTGGGGCCAAAGAGAGCTGCAGAGGCCACCCTTCTCCATTAAGCAGCCGAATCCCCCTTCTTCCCATTTTATGAATGAGAAGACTGGGGAAGAGAGGGCAAGAGCTGGCACTGGAACCCAAGTATGTTAGTTTTTTATTGTGCTGTCACAAATTGCCACAAATTTAGTGGCTTAAAGCAACAAAAATTTATTATCTTATAATTCTGGAGGTCAGAAGTCCAAAATCAGTCTCACTGGGCTGGTTCCTTTTGGAAGTTCCAGGAGACAATCTATTTTCTTGTTTTTTCCAGTATTTGGAGGCCACCTGCATTCCTTGGCTTATGGCCCCTTCCTCCATCTTCAAAGCCAGCAGTAACACATCTTTAGATCCCTCATTTCTCTCTTCATTGTGCTTCTGTTTGTCACATCTTCTCTTGCTTTGACCCTGTGGCCTCCCTCTCATGAGGACCCTTGTGATTACGTTGGGCCCACCTGGAGAATCCAGGATCATGGCCTCATCTCAAGGTCCTTAACTTAACCACAGCTGCAAAGTCCCTTTGCCATGGAAGGTGACATATTCACAAGGTCTGGAGATGAGGACCTGCACATCTTTGGGGTGGGGGTGGGGGCATTATGCAGCTTACTACACCAAGTCTGGTACCCAAGGCCGTGCTTTTTCCACGATACCAAAGATTGTAAGAGCCCCGAATGGGAGTGGATAGACAGGGTTCCAGGTCATTGATTTGTCTTGAAGGGGTCACAGGCCAAGGAAGGGGATCATCTAAAACAAAACAGTCTTAATTCTGTCTGTCTTTGTCTCGCCTCTCTCCTTGGCCCCAGGCAGAATTGCTCCCTGAGGAGAGGTCTGATGGGGCCTTTGTCTTTTTTGCTATTAATAACCAAAGTTTCACAAATTGGCACACAGTTCAGTCTTCTCCCGCTTGTGTGATTCTTCGCTTGTCTAGTTACTTACTGATTTCACCACCCGCTCATTCGGGACACCTTGGTCCTCAGCCTGGGGAGACTTGGTTGGTGGTGACTGTGCGCTGCCCTTTGCCCCTGTCTTTGCAGGGAGGCCCAAGGTCCTGAGGGGAAGATGCTGGGCATGGTGCCTGGAACCACTCTCCTCCCTGCCGTCTCTTGCTGGGTCAGCCCTGCTTCTCCAGGGCCAGCTTCCTGCCCCTGGACTGCTGCAGCTTCTTGAACTGTCCCATTTGGTGTTACCACATTATTCATGCTTTCTGGGCCCTCAGGGGCATGACTGGCTCAGTGAGAACCTGCTTTCTCTGCCTGCCAGGGTGACTAGCTTTGGGGACAATGCAGGGGGCCGGGGGAGGAGAAGGGGCACTGGAGATCTGCTCGGGGGAGTGGTCCTGAGGCCCAGGGAGGGAAGGGGTCTGGCTCAAGGTCACATGGTGAGCTGGTGACAGAGCAGGGACAGCCAGGCATCTGGGTCCTAGCACAAGCCCCTGTGCACAGCGGTCCCTGCTGTTCAAAGACCCCCAGGTTCCCTGCTGAGCCCAGGAACTCAGAGGCCACAGGAGGGCAGGGGTGGGGGTGCTGCCTGGGCAGGGGCTCCCAGGTCGGGAACTCAGGGCTTAGTGTCCTCAAGGCTGTGACACACAGGGAGGAAACTGCATCCCTCAGAGTTGAACTGAATGTGAATGTTCTTGCCAGTTAGTCACTCCATAACACCTCTGGGCCCACCACCTGGAGAGGAACCAGCTTGGGCCCTGACCCTGGGCCCCTAGTCCAGCAGGGATGGCTCAGACACACAGGGTCAGTCCAGGAAGGGAAGGGCTGGGAGGAGGAGGGGATGCAGGAGGCCAGCAGCGAGACGGCCCTGGGGGAGGAGTCAGTGCTGGCCTTGAACCCCAGGCTTGATGTCACAGATCCATTCCTTGGCCTTTTGCCCAAATTTATGTTCCATTTGGGGAATAAAACTATGTAACAACCAAACTGTGGATGGGTGTATCCCTTATGAGGGTCTCATACGGCCCCAAGCCCTAGAGTGCCCTCAGCGTGGAATTGGGCCAGCTCCCTGCAGCTGACCAGAGGCCCCTCCCAGTGGGCACCAGAGCTGGGCCTCTCTGACCCCAGCCCTGCCCTGACGGGGCAACCGTGGGAAAGAGCCGGGACGGGTTCAAGATGGTGCCCCATGAGTCTTGCGTCCTCAGTCTCTGCAGGAGGCTGGTTCTGACTCCTCCTTCCTCTGCTCCGCACCCTAGTCAGCAACCAGCCCCTGCCTTGCCTGGCCCCGCACCTGCCCTCGCTTACTGTGTGGTCGCTGTCTAACCCTGGTGTGGTGTCATTGCTCAGACTGAGAGCTGGCGGGTGGGGCCTGGCACTGTCAAGCAAACAGGGCAGAGTCAGCTTTTTTGGGTGCGCCCTGTCCATCACACCCGCTTCCTTCTTTGCTTTGGAAAACCCATTCCAGGAAAGGCTGATTTGGCTCCTCCTTCCCTGTGGGAGTGGGCACATGACCCAGGTCCAGCTAATCAGAGACTCTGCTCCCCAGCCACAGCCATTCACAGAGAGTCAGGCATAAGTACATGTCTGGACCGATCAATTTTCCCTGAGATTTGATATTTTCTTTCTGGGAGAGAGAGGGTGTCTCTTTGTTTTGGATCATGACCCAGCCAACACAGACTTGGGGCATCCACAGCCATTGCTCCTGTGGGAGAACAAAGGCAACATGGTGGGCTACAGAGCCAAGAGAGGCAACACACCTGCCCACATTCTCAGACTCCCTGGATCCAGCCAAGCCTGAAGTTAGAATTATCACTTGGACAATTTAGTTACATGAACCAACGAGTATCCTTTCTTGCTTAAGAAGGTTCAAGTTGGGCTTCTGTCTCTTGCAATCAAGTAATGGGGGTGGGCAATGGGACTCAAAGCCTGTCAGGGGGTGGAAGGTCCCCCTTTCAAGAGCTGTCTCCTCTCCACCTGCCAGCTTTGTGGTGGGTCATGGGCCAGGCAGCCCCCAGCTGTGGGGCAGAAGGATGGGCAGCCCCAGGAGGCAGGCTGGTGAGGATGGGTAGTTATGATTGGCTGAGGCTGTGACAACAGGGCCTGAGGCCTGCAGGCCTGGGATTCCTTGGAAAGATGCCAAGCAGGCACAGCTGGGCTGCAACCCCAGCGGCAAAGTCGTGTCCAACCCCCTGGCCCAGAAATACTCACCTGACTCAGGTAATTGGTCCAGACTGACAGAGTTCACCTGGGCTTGGGGAAGGTCAATGTGAGGTCAAGCAGTGCAGAGCCCAGGATGGAAGATTCACCCTTTCAGACGATGGAGCTGCCTGTCCTTCCACCGCTCATACCCACAACCTGGTCAGCCATCAGGTAGACACTGATAGTGACACCTGATTGGGAGAATGGGTGGCCTTGGAGTGTGCATGTGGGACCCCTGAGTGTGTGAGCTCTGTGAGGAGTACTAGCGTGTGTGCACCGAAGCTGTCTGAGGGTGTCTCTGGGAACTGGGTGTGAGAGATCCCTGTGTGTGTGAGTGGGCTTGGCCAGCGTGAGCTGGTGGATGTCCCAAGGGGCGGCTGTGGATGGCCATACTTTGTATCAACCCTCCTTCCTCCCTCTCTTGGGTGATTCCTGAGGTTCATGTCTGGCAGATGCTGTCAGTGCCCTGTCCAGAGACCTTGGAACGTGCTGTGCCCAGGCATAGTGGCCCAGTGGCATATCATGCTGACCTACATGATGGCCTCAGCTGCCGGAAGCTGCAACTCCCTTGTCTAAAGACTTTCTCTGGCCAGAGGCGCCCGCTTGGCTGCACAAGGGGCAGGGATTAACATTCCCCAAAGAGCACCTCAAACAATGACCCTTGAGAGTCACTGAGTTCGAGTAATCCATCTCCCTCCCCGTCAGGTAGCTAACTTTGAGGTGTGCTCCACACTGTCTCTTGGAGTTGCCAGGGGGACAGAGCTCAGCTGCCCATGGTGGCGACCGGCTTGCCGGTACCCTGCATGGCCTTCCTTCCCTTCCTCGTTTCACTGCCCACTCCCTAGTGGTGCTCCTGGGGTCACTCCATCAACCCCCTGCGCCTCCATCCTGTCCCAGGGTCTGGTCCTGCCCCGCTCCTGTTCTCCATCCTGGGAATTCAGCTTCACCTCCCACTTCCTTGGGGCCCTGATGAGCCCTGGGCTGAGCCCCACCCCTCAGGCCCCTGGCAGAGAGAGGCCAGTCTCCTTGTAGGAGTGTGCAGAAGGACCTTGAATGTGGCACCATATATGCGTACGCCACAGCATGTCACAGTGGACACAGGGTGTGTTGTGGATGGAGGAGGCAGGAAACGCCCAGCCCGACAGTCCCCTGGGCCAGTGGGATGTTGAGCCTGTTTGCTGTTGGAATCGAGTGTTGGCGTGGGGTGGTTCAGGTTGGGGTGAGCATGTGGCTGGACACCATCACCATGAAGGCTGCTACATTCGTTTCCAGTTGGTGGGGCCCCACAGCACGGAGGTGGCAGCTGAGCCATGCACAGTGGTGCTTAGAAGGACAGAGGAGTGATTACTTTGCATATAGAGATGGGTGGCTTAGGTATTAGGCTGTGCCCAGAGAGAGATGCTAGGGGCAGGAGCAATTCCTGAAAGTAGGATGCTTGAATGGGTTAAACTTCATGGGACATGCCAAGGATGGAAGACAAACTCAGGACCCAAACAAGTTCTGTTTACAAATATGAGTGTCCGTGGGCAGACGGTTTGAAAGTGTGAGAAGGGAATCTGCTCATGCTTCAGGGGCCAGCTCGTTTGCTTTGAACAGTGGCAGCAGGCAGCCAGCAGGTGGCAGTGTGGGCTTGGAGTGGGGCTGGTGGGCGCAGAACCACTGGGACCTGAGACTGGGGCGGCACCTTCCTTCAGGATCGCACCCCACTTTCAGGGCACCTGGGGGCCTAGGACTATGCTAGTGGACCCCACTTGAGTTCTAGTGGGAGACAGAGTGACAAAGGAAGGGAACCAGCCTCTGTCAGCCAAGAGATCAACAACCAAAGCCAAGGTCTTATGGAAAGCAGAGAAAGGAAGAGGAGAATTTCTGCAGAGGGGGAGAAAACAACTCATTTCAGTCTAATTTACAAATTTCCCTCTTTCCTGGTAGTCAAAGCCTTCAGGATGCTGAAAGCCAGCTGCTGTCAAAGTAACACGTGCAGACCCCGCTGCTCCTGGAGTCAAGTCTTGTTTATGGCGACATTGACACTGGCCAGGTCTAAGAGAAATGATGCCATGTTTCAGCGAGGCTGAAAAGAAAGTAATTCGGTAAATCACTGACTACTCAAATAGCCAGTCAACAGGAACACGAGGAGGTCCCAATGGCTGCTCATTCTGAGAGAAGTAACATCTTTTCAGTTTGCTATTTACTGTTATGGCAGGCCCCCCCCCCCCCCCCCCCAGCACACTCCTTGATAACTTACTTCTTGCAACATTTTTTATTGATATATTTATTTTGAACACAGAAAAGATACATAGTTGCTTATTTAGCGCTTAATCTAGGAACAAGAAAAGCTGTTCAGCTCCATCCCTCAAACACTGATGAGCAGGTAGGGATTTTTATCTTTTTTCCCAGCACTCACTAGGGTTGCAGAAGCAGGATGCGTTTCTTAAAAGACTCTCATCCCTGGAGTGCATTTTAAAGGCTATACAGTACAACAGACAGATAATTTTTTGCCTAGAAAACAGTACACCACAAAGGTGGACAGAACTGCTTGTAAACAAGGTCTCTCCCCTGGGTAGAGTCAGGGGCTCCAGGATACTACAGAACCTCTGGGTGGATTCCTTTCAGTTCTGCACCAGAAGAAATTCTATTTCTACAGAAAATAAAATTCACAATTGCCATCCTTGCCACCCCTCTTCTTAGGAAAGGAATTACTGAATTGTCTTAGCCCTTCACTGGAGGAATTGAAATGTGGAGGAGAGGATGGATGGTGGTGCTGTCCTTTAAGGAGGGGCCAGGGAAAGAGGCAAGTTGGCCTTGAGGACTCCGCTCTCTGCTGCTGGAGATGCTGGCGGGGACATTCCTCAAAGATGCTTCGCCGCCACCCTCCGGCAGGCTGGGTCTTCAGGAATCAGCTCTGTTACCTGCATGGCCTCTGACGGAAACTGCTGGGATTCCTGGGCCAGGACAGGATCTCAGCCTCTCTACAACCAGGCAACCCCACCCATCCCCTTCTGTAGTGCCCCTGGCGGTGAAGCCCAGATATAACCACTGGTCCTCTCCTGGTGGCAGGGTGCTATAATGGGACTCACATCCCCTTTCTTTTGTCTCTACAGACACCCAGGAAGGCAGGGCCACAACACACTGGCTCACAATTCCAAACTATGAGCCACCACCTGGAGGACACACCGGCTTCTGGGGTCTGGCTCCAGCCCATTCACGCTCAGGCCTTAATGGTCAGCTGGGCACATACTTAGCAAGGGGCCGCTTGTCTCCCTCAGAGCGTGTCCAGACAGCTCTCATCTTTGAAGACCCTCAGTCCTGGGCAGTGGTTGCAGTGACATGGGGAAAGCTATAACCCGCCACCCCCACTCCAAATACCCACCAAGAGCCCTGTTCATCACCTGTGGCTTGGGGTGGGGGCTTCTGAGATAACTCCACTAGCACCACCAGACTGAGGGCACTGGGTTGGGGGGAAGGGGCAAGGTAGGCTGCGAGGGCCTCCAGGTCATGCCTGAGCCCCCAGACCCGTGTCCCTCACCCCATAAGTGGCAGGGTGGTGATGTTGTGGCTCGTCTGCCCTGGAATTGAGAGATAGGTGCAGCGCACAGCTGAACCTCACTGAGCCCTGTCCCAAAAGCAGGAGGACAAGCTGGTCCTGGGGAGGGGTTGGGGCAGGCAGCTGACCTGGGATGGTCGAGCAGTTTCTGGAGGCAGAATCAGAGTTTGGGCACAGCCTGCCAGGTGAGGGCAGGGGCAAACAGGCCCGGGGAGAGGGAAAAGCGAGCCCCGGTCCCTTCTCCACCTCTCTTCTCCCAGTGTTGTCTGCAGAGGCAGAACTGACAGGCTGGGGAGGAGACGGGAGGTCGGGAGAGCTTCATTTTTAATGAAACCTTCACAGATGGGTTTGTGTGGGTGTATGGGGCTGTGTGTGTGCTGCACATGTGTGGGGCATGTCTGGGTGTGTGTGTGTGCACATGGGTATGCCAGTGTATATGTCTGTGTGTGTACCAGTTGTGTATATATGTGTGCGTGTGGGAGTGCTGTGTGTGCACATGTCGTGTGTGCCCCTGTGTGCCTGAAGAATGTGATTCAGCCCCTAGGGGCTGGCAGGACCTGGCCGGTTGGGACACTCACATAACCCTCTCTGGGCCCGAGGCCAGGGACCGAGTTGGGGCAAGTGACCCCTGGGGGCTCCTTGGCCCTGGTTCTGGTCCCGGCAACGGCAGCAGGCCCGATGGGGGGCTGGTACCACATACTGCCTCATAAGGGGGCAGGGTGTCCATGGAGATGGTGCGGAGGCCACTCTGACCCCGGGCCCTTTGCGCCTGCTGGTGTCGGCCAGAGCTGTGGCCGCTGCCTTCGTCGAGGGCGCTGTCCAGCGCAGGGCAGGAGTCGGTCAGCGAGTAGGGCGGCGGTGAATCCGTGGGGACGTAGAGCTGGGTGGCCCCTGGCCCCACACACTCCTCGTACCTAGAAGAGAAGAGGCTCCCTCAGGGCTCTGTGGAACCTCGCCTCAGGGGCAGGTGTGGGGTCTCTACCCCAGGGCCAGGGCCTCTCCGCAGTGACAAGCTGCCCTGTAGTGGACCAGGCCAGGCCTTTGTCATGCTGGCTCCATGAAAACCCCCTCCTCCCCAGGGAGCGGCACCCCCGAACCACTGAGACCTGGATTCTGGTCCTGACTCAGCCCCAACGTTCCGTGTGAACTTGAGTGAGTAAGTCACTGAACGGCAGGTCCCAGATTGCTCAGCACAACAGCAGCCACTGCTGAAGCAGCATCTCCCAGGCTGGGCACCGAGGCTGGGCGTGCAGGTGAGAGCAACCTCAGGCTGCCAGACACCCCTTGGTCTCAAGTCACCTTGAAGCGGCCCTTCCAGGTGTGGGAGGGAATCCCTGGGGCCCTTCTGAACCCACAGCTGCAGGACAAAAAAGCATCCACCGGCCCAGGAGAGGGCGGACTGCACGGCCCCTGCCAGTGCCCCAGGGAGTGGGGGTAATGGGAAAAGGGAGATGGGGAGGGTGTGGCCGTTTGTGGGGTTGGAGGGGTCTCCAGGGAGGGAAGTGACGGAGGCCCTGACCCCTCTTCTTGTTTTGAGTACTAACTGGTGGGGGATCTACCTGAGGTGGCTGTCAGGAGAGGACTCAAAGGCCCCTCAGAGAAGAATTCCCCAATGGGACAGGACCGCCTGGGGGTCGTGAGGGCAGTTTGGACACAATGACCCCTGTCCCAGTGGATGTGATTTGGGCTTTGGGAGCACATCCTAAGGAGCTGGGGCCTGGACCCTCCACCCCATCATTTCACCCAAGCCTGAAGGAGCTGAGCTTACCTCTTCCTTTCTGTGTCTCATGGTGACATCTGCTGAGTCATACCCTGTCTCAGGGGGACCTGCCTGGTCAGGAGGGTGAGGAGATGGCTACGCCCACTGAGCAGATGTTTTCTGCCTGACACCATTTGCTGGAGGTGTTGCTGATTCGCAGGGGGCGTGAGGCTTCGTGCCCAGAACCCCGCCTCTCACGCCCTCCTCCCCTACGCGGCCTCCTTACCCCGGTGGAGAATCTGGGTACAGCTCTCGGAGCACAGTGGCATCCACGTCCCCATCAGAGCTGACGTCCAAGGGTGGGGGCCAGTCCTCGGCCGGGCTGCAGGCGTAGTGCATCCTGCGGCTTGAGCGGCTGTAGATGTGCCCGTCAGACACTGCAGGGAACACACACTCAGCCTGGGCCTCCAGCCGGCGCCAGGGAAGATCCGCTCAGGTCTACCTGAGGCCACCGAGACTCTTCTCTCCAACTCACCATCCCGCCCCACACCAAGCACAGCTGCCTCATCCCCTCAGCGACAGCCCCAGAATGTGAGAGTTAACACTGTGCTGGGCATGGGGTCACACAAGCAGAGCTGGCCCTGCCCTGTTGGGGCTCCCAGGGTGGTGGGCATCCTGTCCTGGGGACAGCCTAGTAATGAGCAGTGTGTAGCAGTGTGTCACGAGCTTTGACAGAGGTAGTACTAGGGCTGTGGGAACAGAGATGGGCCTGATCCAACCTGGAGGACTTCTTGGAGGAGGGGCTCTCAGAGCTGAGTCTTGTCTAGGAATTAGCCAGGGGCAGAGGGGCAGGTGGGGCAAAGGGAACAGAACAGCTTGAGCCAAGGAGGGAGATGAGAAAGAAGAGTGTGGTGTGAATGGGAAGCTTTGAGCTGTGCGGGAGGGATGGGGCATGAGAAATGGGGAGTAGAGTGTCAGGGAATGAGGGCTGCAGAGGTCTCTGGGGTCAGGCCACCCTACTCCCTGCCCCCAACCACACACTATTGCCTGTAGGTATTCCAGGGAGGAAAGGGGCTTCTGTGATGAATTCTGGTCACTCCACATACTGCATTCTCTTCCTCCTGCCTTCCTTTTTTACCACATATTAGCAAAACAAAGGCTCTGAAAAGTCCTGCAGCTGAGAAACACATTTAATTGGACTGTGCAGCATTTGACCACAGAATCTTATTTTCTTAGACCTAGTAACACTGCTTAGGCAATGCTGAGAGCACAATCTTCTCATTCTACAGCTAAGGTTCAGAGAGGCTCAGTGACTTGCCAGAGGCCACACAGCAAATTATTGGTAGGGCCAGAGGGTAGCCGGATGTCCTGGCTCCTCACCCTGTAAGCTCTCCACCTCCCAGTTTCTGACAGGTCTAGAAGCGGCTGGGGGACAGTGGGAGCTGCAAAGATGGCTGAGACACGAGGTCTCCCCCACCTCAACGGGGCCCCGGTGGCTCCACCCCTCAGAGGGTGGGGCTCAGCATCAGGGGCGGGGCTCACGACCTCTCTTTGAGGTCAGCAGCACTGTGGCCATGCCCATTCTACACTAAGCCGCTGAGGCTCGGGGTCACAAGCCTGGTAAAGTGTGGGGCTGGAATTCATGCACAGTCTGAATAACGCCAAGGACTGCTCTTTTCACTCCCCTAATCTTTTCCCCTCTCTTGATACAACGGTGAGTGGAAGAATCTGGATACAAAACGATCTGCAGCTATAATCCCAGGGTTATCTATGGACATCGAGAAAGCTCTCAGAAGAAAATATTCCAAACACATTAACAGCGGCTCTGGCTGGATGATGGCTCTTATTTTCTTCTTTATATTTTCTGTATTTTAAAGATTTTTCACAGTGAACACATATCACTTTTCTACTAGAAAAAAGGACCCCAATAACAGATGCCGTAAAAAGGAGCGAGCTGAAAGAAGATTGGTTTCCCTTTAGGGCACCTGCTGAAGGATGAGAATTTTGGGACAAACTTGGGGAAGAGACTCAGGGAAGAGGAAGGCAGGGAAGGACAGGGTGAGGACACAGTTGAGCGGGGGTGCTGGGCTTGGGGCTGGGTCTGTCCCTGCCAGCATGGCCAGGGGGTGTCCCACCCATGGTGCAGGGGGCTGTGGCTGTTCAAACCCCGGAAAGCAAGGCTGTTTCCTGGCCAGGGGTGGGTGGCCCTGGTGGGCGGGCCTGAGAGCTGACAGGGCCCGACCACACCGCTGTTCACCTCTCTCCTCGGGCTGCTTCTCTTGGGCCTCTCAGAGGCTGAGCACCTTAGGGAAACTGAGGCTGCCCTGAGATGCTCACCTAGGTCAGACCCCAATCTTGAGATGACCCAGGTCAGTCCCAGACTCCAGCTGGGCAGAGCTCCTGAGCAACAGCTGGAAAGAACTCCCCACCCTCCCCCATGTGAACTCCCCAAATTCCTTTCTCAGGCCCTCTCTTTCCCTGATTTCCACGTCAGCACAGACCCGAATGGTCCAGGACTCCAGAAGCCCCCCTTTCCACCTCATGGAGGGTGAAATCGTCCTATCCCCTCTTTACCAAAATGAAGAAACACCTCGGTTCATTATTTAACCCCAATCCAAGACTAACATCCCTTGACAGGCCCCAGAGAGGGGGAGGAGGAACCTGCAGCCATGAGCACCTGCTCCATCCCCACGACCCCCTTCACCCTCACAAGAAACGGAGAGGCAAGTCACTTGCTCTAAAGCCCCAGCAAGTGGAAGAGAGGAGACCAGATCTGTCTCCTAAAGCTCAGGATCTTCCCATCTTACAGAAGCAGAATTTCACTCACTCATTCCTTCACTCACTCATTCCTTCACTCACTCGTTCCCTCATTCTCAAACACTCCAGGGGCTCCTCTCTCCAGCCAGACTGCAGAAGGGCCCTATGTGCAGGCAGAGGAGGCCCGACTTTGTGCTGAGGGCAGCAGGGAGCCACGGAGGGGTGCTGAGCAGAGGATGGAAGTGGCCACCGTCCAGTCACTTTGGTTGCCTGTGGCCCGGGGAGCAGATTTTCTCCCAGGGGGAGAGATAATGAAAATAGTTAACATCTATTGAGCACTTACTCATAAGCCGGATACTGTGCTAACCGAGTCCTCACAACTTTTTGGGGTGGGTCCCTGTGTACCCATTTTATAGATGACTCACCTGAGATCCAGGGAGGTTAAGCAACTCTCCCGAGGTGGCACAGTAAGAAGGAGAAGATGAAGGCCGTTTGGACACCGTGGGTCGGGGGTGCCTGCGGGACCTCAGGGGGGATGTGGGGATGTCTGGGCCAGGATGATGGGTGGGGCCTGAGGCTGGCAGTGGACGAGATGGAGCAGGTGCAGAGAGAGGACCAGGGCCAAGGGTTGGGTTCTGAGGGACCTTGATATTTCTCTCCTCAGAGAACACAAATCCACAAAAAAGTCTGAGGAGGAGCAGCCAGAGCAGTGGGAGAGAGCCCGGGGAAGGTCATGTGTGAAGGTCACGTGAGAAGGACCCTGTGCCGACAGGTCACTCCTTGCTGGGGCTCTGCCGCTGTGTGTCCTCCCCACAGCTGCACACAGTGCATTTTCCCTCTTCCCTGGCGTCTTTCCAAGGCTCCTGGCAGCCCCTGTGCACCCTCCCGAAGGCTGGAGGAAGCTGTGGGGGGCACTAGCGCCTCCATCATCACCGAGACCCCAGGGACATGGCAAAGTCGGAGCTGAGAACAGAGGTGGCGCGGGAGGTGGGAACCCCACAGAGGGGTCCCCATGGCAACAGGGAGGCAGGGCTGCTGCGAGTCAGCGTGGGGTAGCAAACGCCTGACCCCAGACATGGCCTGGCTGTGACCTGCTGTCACCCTGCTGTCCACCCGAGGAGAGAGGTGAACAGCGGTGTGGTTGGGCCCTGTCAGCTCTCAGGCCCGCCCACCAGGGCCACCCGCCCCTGGCCGGGAAACAGCCTTGCTTTCCGGGGTTTGAACAGCCACAGCCCCCTGCACCATGGGTGGGACCCCCCCCTGGCCATGCTGGCAGGGACAGACCCAGCCCCGGAGGTCAGGGCCAGGGCCTTGCTCATGTGGCACTGGCCCTGTGACCCCATCACAGACTAAGGAGGGACTGGCCTGCCCCCAGGCCCATCTCTTTCCTCAAGGCCAAGGTCACCCTCCCAGACCTCAGCTTGAGAACTCCCGTGGGCCCCCCTGCCATGCTCTAAGTGTCAGGCTCCAACTTCGGGACTTACAGGCCATTCAGCAAGTCACCTCAGTTTCCCAGTCTTTAAAATGGGCTGACATGGCTCTTGCTGTGAGGATGGAACGAACTGGTTCCTTCCGTCGCCCATGGAGCACCTTCTCTGGGCTAAGTCCTGGGCTGTGGGCCGGCGGTGGGAGAGCTACACACACGCCCTGCTTTCACTGTTGCAACACAGCCATCCCGTGACAGGGGCACTGACAGAGGTGGGGGTACAATGCCAAGGAAGACCAAGAGGGGGGATTCAACCCTGCCTGGGAGGGCTGAGAAGGGGCTGGAGAAGCTCCCCAAAGGAGGTGGCATCTGAGCTGGGCCTGGAAAGAAAACAGGCTTCTGTTGGTTGGGGAAGTATGGGGAATGGCATTCTGCGCATAGGGAAGAGCATATGCAAAGGTGCAGAGGCGGGAAGAAGCACGAAGGAGGTGCTAGGGAAGAAGCAAGAGTGGAGGGAAAAGGGTCAGGCTATGTGAGGTGGGTAGGCTGGCCATCCTGGGCCTGCCCGGAACCATCCTGAGGGTGGTACCTGGCTCCTTGTTGGGGTGCGCATGCTCTGGGCAGGAGCTTGTGTTCCCCGGACAGGCCACGCCTGGTCTGGGCAGTGCTCCTGGCTTGTCTGTCTTCTTAGGGAGCTCTTGGCTTCTGCGTAGACCTGAGGGGACTGTGCTGGCTGAGCTTCTAACATCTGTTTTATTAATGCTGACCTTTCTCTTCAATCTTTGTCGTTGGGCAGTGAGGGCAGACCACTAACTTGCTGCATCTTTCTTCTCTTGTGGCCACTTGTCCCCCTGCCGTGGTGACCTTTCTCTGTGTCTTGTTCAGAGGCCCAGCTTCCTGCTCTTTTAGTTCTTCTAGCAGCTTTCCCAGAGGAGCAACATCTGGGTCTGATGGCCCCTAGGCCTTGAGTGTATCTGCTGGACACTGCCCTGAGCCCACGGGTGGCTCCTGCTGCTTTCCCCGACACCTTCAACCGCACTGAGGGTGTGAGCGCCAAGCCCCTCCGAGGCAGTGCTGTACAGTGGTCAGACTGTGGGACCCAGGACGGGCTGCCTGGACTCAATCCAGGATCTGCCCAGCTGGGTGACCCCAGGCAGGTTCCTTAACCACCCTGCTATGACCTGAATGTTTGTATCCCCCAGATTCATATATTGAAATCTGAACCCCGACAGTGACGGTATTAAAGTGAGGCCTTTGAGAGGTGATTCGATCATGAGGGTGGAGCCCTCATGACTGGAATTAGTGCCTTTATAAAAGAGGCATAATTTATAATTAAAAGGGGGACCACAAAGGTAGCTTGTCCCTTCCCCACGTGAGGACACGGTGAGAAAGCTCGTCTATGAGCCAGAAAGCGGGCCCTCACCAGACACTGCATCTGCAGGTGCCTTGATCTTGGAGTCCCAGCCTCCAGAACTGAGAAATACATTTCTCTTGTTTACAAGACACCCCATTTATCATATTTTTGTTATAGCAGCCTGAATGGACTAAGACACACCCCAGCCTCAATTTCTTGATCTGTAAATTGGGAAGGTAGTGGAAGCCATCTCGAGGACCACTGTGAGGATTAAATGAGACTTTATGCACGAAAAGTGCCAGGCGTGCAGTTACCCATCGGCAATTGTTACAGCTTCTGTCACTAGCTTCTGATATCCCTTAATCGCTAAAAGGTGGCACCCTCCTTAACCAGTTAACTCGGTGAGGAAAGGGAGAGGACACACCACAAACCTGGTAGTTGAGCAGGGTGTGTGTGGGGGGCTGTGTATTTGAGGCCTCCCAAGGTCTGGGCTGATCAGACCCAATTTAACCTGTTTTAAACTTTTTCTTTTCTTTTTTTCTCCCAAGCCCCTCCCGTCCTGTAGGAGGAAAGACCCTCAGGCCTGCCTGGCTGTGCAGCCTCCATCTCATTCGCTCTGCATTGTGAATGGTGGCCCCGGGGTCAGGCCACTCTACAGACCTGCCTTCCTCTCCCTGACTCTGGGCAGAGGCCCCGCCGGGCCTCAGTGCAGGCTTTTTCCTGCCATTGACAACAGTCTGTGAGTTGAATGGAGTGGAGTTCCTGCCTGCTGCTTTTAGACAACTGGCCCTGTCAAGAATAAGACGAGGTTAGGTGGCTGCATTCTGTAGGAAGTTCCGGCCAGATGGACACTTCTGGGACTGGTCAGCCCAAGAATAGCCACCAGCTCTGTGTAAGGGTGATTCCTGTAACTGGGAAACGCTCACAGCAGTTCTGTTTGCACTTTGCAGGCTCTTTGGGGACAGACTCATTCACTCATCACTCATTCCATCCACTTGTCCATATGCCTACTCATCCCATACAACGCCCACCTATCCACCCTCTACCCTCCCATCTACCCATCTTTCCATCCGTTCACCCACATCCTATCCAATCCACATATCTAGCCACCCCATCCACCCACTCATCCACCTCTCCATCCTTCCATCTACCCATTTAGCCATCCATCCCTCATCCCACCCACTCATCCATCTCTCCATCCATCCAGTGATCTATCCACTCACTCATCCCACCCAATCCCCCCATTTAATCCCCCCACCTATCCTTCTCCTCATTCCCCTACCAGTCTATCCTCCCATCTCACTCACTCATCCCTCTCTCTATCCATCCCTTCATCTAGGCACCAACTGGACCAGCAATGGCTGGGGCTGAGCCCTCTGCCCTTCAGCCTTACCTTTGGCAGACAACTGGGCTTCTCAAGCCACTGAGAACAGGATGGTAAGCACCTCAGAGCTCTTCCTGAGCACCCAAGACCTCCAGGATGCGTTCCCTGACCACCCTGCTCCACCCACGGCAGGCTGCCCCCTCCCTGTGCCTCCTGGGTCACAGTCCCAGTTGGACCGAGTCCTGGGGCCCAGGGCAGCAGCTCACCGTAGCTGTGCTCGTACTCTCGATGGCGGTGGCGGCGGCGGCGATGGTGGTGGTGGTGGCGGCGGTGGTGACGGTGGTGGTGTCGCTGGAGCCGGGCCTGCCTGTCCCTGCGGATGCTGCCCACTATGATGGTGATGCAGGAGAGGATGATGACCACACCTATGACCGCACTGGCCACCAGTACAGGGGACACGAGCAGATGGCTGTGCTCCGAGCTCTCTGAGAATGTGGGGTAGAAGTAGCTGGTGCGGTTGTATCGAGCTACTGAGGACAGAGAGAGTGGACAGTGAGCGGGAGCACAAACCCTGCCACACACCTTCCTCCTCCATCCCTGCTGCCCTGCGAGGTATTTATCCCTACAGAAATAGAGGACAGTCCAGGGTCAGGCCCATGGACTCTATCCTGGCTGCTCCTGCCAGGGAGGAGGAGATCGGCCCCTTGCTCCACTGCCTGCAGGAGCCTCTTGCTAGTGGGGGCTGCCTTCTCCTCCTCTCCTCTAAGGCCTGGGAGCTCAACTAACTCACAGATAGGAAACGGGAAGCTCCGAGAGGGCAATGGACTTGCCCAAGATCACACAGCAAATTAGTGGCAGAGCTGAGGCTTGAACCCAAGTCTCAGCGCTAGACAAGGACTCTACCTCATCAAGACATGAGGTTGGAAAGTCAGCATGACTTTACCAAGGTCTTGGGAAGGGCTGGGGATGCACAGGGGGTCAGAGTATGAGGATCAACTTTGCTGGCCTCCAACACTGGCCTCTTCCCTTGGGGGTGAAACCTACCCAGGGGACTCCAGGGAAATCAGGCAGGCCCAGGGGTGTGGGCAGCAACTGACCCAGACGTGTCAGGCGGTGGGTCAGATCAGGGAAGGCTTCCCAGAGGAGGTGAAGAGCAAGGACAAATGTATAGAGGGGTGGGAAGAGACTTCTAGGAGGGAGTGTGGTGTGGCAGGAGAATGGGGACATGCAAGAACCTCCTCCAGGACTAATAGCTGGGTCCCCGAGAGCCCTACAGTGGGAAGTTCTTGGGAAACTTGGTGGCTTTGTATTCCCACAGGAGAAGATGAAGCGGCCCTGGGAGCTGGAGACCTGGGGAAAGTTAGAGTCAGCCAGGAACAGCCACAGGCACCCGCTGCCTCCCTCAGGGAGGGCCAGCACCTCCTCGGTGAGTGCCTTGGTGTGCCGCTTAATTCCCTCCAATTCTGCCAAGCAGGGACGTGGTTTCCCCTTTTACAGACGCATGGACTGAGGCTCAGTGCTGGCAGGTGACTGGCCCACATGGCTGAGCCCAAGCTTCAAAGCCCAGAGCTCACTCAGTGTCCCTGGCCCCAGGCATGAGCCCTTCCTGAGGCTGCGAGCCCTATCTCTGGATAGCCATCGGGAGGCAGCCTCAGATCCTCAATGGGCCACAGGGTCGGGGGCAAGCACTCCTGGGCCCAGTTCTGAGAGGGGCCCCTGTCTGTCCTCCCAGAGCCCAAGTCCATGTCCTTGTTTTGCATTTGTTGCACAGGATCACGCGTGGTTTCCGGGGCTTGTGTTTGATCGTTCTCCGCGTCTTCGAGCTCAGCATTGGGCCTGGGCTCACCAAAGGTGCCCAAGGCACGTATTGAGTGAGTGGCACCAAACTTGAGACCAGATGAGAAAATGGCAGGAAGGCCCTGAGCTGCCTCAGGGGAAGGAGGACTGTCTTGGGTGGTAATCAAGCAGAATTTGGATGGCCACCTGCCTGGGTAGCTGGAGGAGAGCTTCTCTTCCCAGGTGAGGGCCTGGACTTATGCAAATCAGAGGTTGGACACTCAGCTGTGGCCACTTCTCCCTTCCATCCCTTCCCAGCACTGCCTCCAAAAGCCTGTGTCGCACTCAGCCCACGGCAGGGACAGGTAGGTGAAGCACGAACTTGGGCCCTTCACCTGAGCTATGAACATGCCCTGCCAGCAGTTCTGGCCCATGCTGGTGGCTTTTGCAGCCTACTGATCTTCAACAGAAGGGGCTGGCCTGGAGGCTCTGCTCTCTGGGCCAGTATGTCTTCCCAGCCCGAGATCTAAGCCTTTGCTTGCTGGAGTTCATTGCAGGCTGGTGCCCTGCAGGGGCATGCACTGGGAGAAGGGAGCTCCCCGTGGCTTTGGCTGGGCACGCTTGCTTCCTGACTCTGATGTGAGAATGCCGGGTGAACGGATTTCTGGGATTCCTTGAGGGCCAAACACAGACCACTGTTGTCAGAGCCCCGATGACGCACAGGCTCTGTGCGAAGAGCCTGCTTCATCCTTCAAGCAACATTTATACAATTGTCCCCATTTTATAGGTGAGTGCACTGAGGCTCAGAGATATTAAATGACTCACCTACAATCAAACAGCCAGTATATGACTAAGACAGGCCCTCTCTGGGCCTTGGCCCCTCCACTAAATCTTGAGGAGCTGGAAAAGAAGCTCTTGAGTGTATAAGAATAATAGCACAAAAAGGGGAAGGAGGGCAGAGTTATATAGGAGTAAGCGGAGTAACTTAATTCTCACTGCAACTAACTTAGTATAAATATGAAGTAGATTGTGACACGTTTAGATGTACATAATATATCCTGGAGTAACCACTAAGGAAATAATTCAAACAAATATAGTGAAAAAATCATTAAAGGAATTAAAATATCACAGTAGAAAATATTCACTTAAAGCCAAAAGGAGAAATAGAGGAACAAAAATGACAAGAGATGTATAGAAGACAAAAAAATAAAATGGCAGATGTAAATCCAAATGTATCAATAGTAACATTAAATGCAAATTGACGAGACAATCCAATCAAAAGGAAGAGATGGTCAGACTGGATAAGAAACAGGAACCAACTACATACTGTCCATAGGAGCCTCACTTGGCAACTAAAGACATCAACAGGTTAAAAGAAAAAGGATGGAAAAAAATATACCATGCAAACAGCAACGATAAGAAAGCTGGAGTGGCTATACTAATATTAGAAAAAATAGACTTTAAAACAAAAAAGTCATTAGAGATAAGAGGGACATTTTATAATGATAAAAAGGTCATTCCATCAGGAAGTTATAACAACTATAAACATATATGCACCTAGGAACAGAGTCCCACAACACGTGAAGTAAAGGCTGACAAATTGGAGGGAGAAATAGACAAAACTAATAATAATTGGAGACTTCAATATCTCATTTTCAATAAGGTATAGAATTTAGTTTCTTCTCTGCTCTTTAACTGGTTGTAACTGCTTGAGTTTTTGATGAAGTGCCAACTTTTCATTTTTATTCCCTTGGCTGTCAGCTACCCTAAGCTAAAGTCTTCCATTTTTCTTCAAGACCCAGGGATGAAAGGTGGCAAAGTCAGGCTCTCCTCCATCTTTTTCTCCCAGGCAAAAGGGATCAGTTGAAATTGTCCGGTCTGACCTCAACTTAGGAGATACCTAGTTCTTGGCTGACGAATATAGAGCATGCCTGCTACCATTTCCTAAGTCTATGCCAACGGCAGACATTACTAGTTGACAATGGTTCTCTTTCCCATTTGACCCAGGAGGCAGCCTCAGCATCCTTTTCAACACAGCACTTCACACAGTGCTTACACCTGGTCACGCAGCTTTTGGCCACCACTCATCCAGTGTCACCACAGTCCACCATGCTACCACTCCTGAGCCCATGGCCAGGGCTTCGGCTTGGACTAGGGCTGAGCCAGTGGTCACTCTGCTACTGTATTCTCTCTGATAAAGTACAGGCCTGCAGGCTGTCCAAGCAATGTCACTCTCTTCCTCTCTACCATGTGGCCTCTCACCTTTGAAGCCAAGGGCAGGACCAGTGTCAGGGACATCAGCTCTCCTGGGGGAGGATAAGAGTATGTGGGGTCCACACTGCTGACAGGGCTCTGGACTTTCCTGTTGAGCGTGTCCCAGCTACTGCAGTGGCTTGGGACACACTGGTCAGCCCATGATCCAAGACAGATGTGCTACCAGACAGCTGCCCATGGTGTGGCTGCAGAGGCCCAGAATGAAAGTGTAGGGCTGAATGTGTGTGTGCATGCCTGCCCTGCTCAGTGCACAGAACTTGCTGCCGAGGTGCCAGCCCTGCAGGGTCACCTTGAAGATGCCCCTCCCTCCACCTGCCTCAGCAGCAGTTGAGAGCTGCGCCCCCTGAGAGTGCCAGGCTCATGACCAGCCAGGCGTGGAGATGGCATCACTCGGGCCGGCAGATGGAGCCAGTTGGTGCAGGCATCAGCCTACAGGGCTGGTTGGGAAATTAATCTTCCAGTCACTGCGACCAGCAGAGGTAGGCGCTGCTTTAAATTATGAGGGGAACCCTTCCAGTTTCGAAATGCAGGGCCCATTTTATCAATAAGATAAATATGACTGCAGAGAAATAACATGATGACAGCCCCCCTTCTCACCTCCCTGTCCCCTGCACCAGCTGTGGCAAGGACAGAGGATGAAGCAAGCTTCGTCTCTATCCTGGATTTTCTTCCCAAGCAGCTTCGACAGAGGTGTCGATGATCAAGAGGAAATTGTACCTCAAAATCCCAGCTCTTCCCTGAGATGTGGCCCTGCCTCCACATAGCAGCATGAATAGCTAGCATCTCCTGACCACCTACTGTGTGTCCAGCACTGTGCTTGGTACTTCTCACATACCGTCTTATTTCATCCTCATGATGGCTTGTATTGGGATCCCCAATTAACAGGTGGGGAAACTGAGCCTCAAAGAGGTTACATAACTTGCCCAAGGTCACACAGGGAGAGACCTGGGTTGGGGGCAGCAGAAGCCCCAGGCTCTTAGCGGAGATGCTGTTCTGTGGCAACCTGGCACCGTGCACTGGGAGCTCGTGTTTTTTGGATCTTGCTAAAGTAAACTTTTCTTCCCCCTAAGCAATGCTCTGCTTCTTCTGGGCCACTTGATATGGAGTCAAAGTTCACCACGACCTACGGCTTCTTCACGGTGAAGGCATATAAACAGCTGAATGTTGCTGAGTTTGGCAGGGCTGGCAGGGGTCAGACTATGAGGGGTCTTGAAGGTCAAATCAAGAGACTGTCCTTTATCCCAAGGGCAAAGAGGAGACATGGAAGAGCATGGTGAGAGTGTTGTAGGAGAGCCCTCTGGCTGCAGAATGGGGCGCAGGGTGGGAGGCAGATGCCTGGTGAGGCGGCTGCTTTCAGGGTCCACATGAGCCTGGAGCTGGCGGGGAGGCGGCTGGGGCCCGGAGCCCCTGCACCACGCAGAGCCGCGCGCCGAGCAGCGCTCAGGTGAAGGCACTTGATGGGCAAGATGCCGCTTCAGAG